GTGCAGCTGGTTCAGATCCTGACCGACCTGCTCATCTTCTGCACGCCCTTTGCGCTCGTCCACTCCGTCGGCGGCTTCGGCGCCGTGCTGGGCGCGCTTGTTCGTGCCGCTCTTCAAGCTGCCCCCCTGCCGCTCTCTCGCCACGCGCTCTGTTGTGAGCAGGCACGTCTGTCGTGACGCTCTTCCACTCCTCCATTGTCTCCCTTGCCAAGCTGTTCCTCGACCCCTTCTCGAACGAGGCGCCGCTGCCTGCCGCTACTGCAGCCGCCCTGATGATGAATGATCGTGGTTGTCTTTATTAAAAGCTCCTCCCCGACTCGTCTCCTCGAACTAGGCGCCGCTGCTGCGCGACGCGGGCATCGTAGGCATTAACGCGGCGACGCTGCTCCAGGAGACCAACGTCGGCTCCGAGCGGTGGCGAAGGGGCGGCGGCTGGATGCCGGAGGCCACCCGGCCGGTGGGGCGGGCGCAGCAGCCAGACGAGCCAACCGCGTCGCCGCGGCACGAGGGGCATGAGCGGCCCGCGTCGGGAGGGAACCCGCAGCCCGCGTCCGAGGCGCTGCAGGAGCTGCAGGGCGGGGTGGTCGCCACCGCCGCCGCGTCCGGTTTCGCGGCCGCGGCCGCTGGGGGCGGCGCCGGTGACGAGGTTGCGATCGATGGTGGCATGGGAGATAGTGGCGATGATGGGACTAGCTGACGCCGGCTGGGAGCCCGGGGCAAGGTACGTCTCTAATTCCTCCACACACACACAAGTTAGCTAGTTACGAAAGCGAAACACAGTCTGACCCCAACGACTCTGGGGACACAGGGGAGCGAAGTTAGAGCCGTACGGGGCGGTGTGGACCCTGAGTTGACCAAGGGTTATGCGCTGGAGCGATTCTAAGATCAGGTCTGCCACCTCCCCGCTGGAAACGAAAATCTAAGTTACAAATCTCGAATAAATCTCGAAGCACACTTGAATGCTCACTTGGCAGGTAACATATGCGCCACGCGCCCCAACCGCTCCTCTGGTCGCCGCCGGCCTCCGCGGCGGCGGCGATGTCCCAGCGCCACCCATCGGCCAGCCCTCAGATCGATCGATCGGCGCTCAAAGTCGGCTTCAGATCCGAGAACGCTGCTGGCGCCGCCGCCGATCCCAGCGGCGACGCCAGCAGCTTCCTCTGCTCTCCAATGCGCCGAGAAGCGACGCGGGGGTGCTCGGCCCGCCATGCACGACGAAGGCTCCGCCGGGCGCGCGTCGGCCGGTCCGGTGGCACCCTCTGCGCGCGGCACCTGCCGGCGCCCCGACGACAGCCGTCGCGCCACCGCTGATGGAGGGGCGGTCGGCGCCGCTGCCGCCGCGCTGCCGGTGGGAGGGGCACTGGTGGTGGCCTGGGCGGCCCTCCGCCGCCGCTCGGGGCGCCCGGGCAGCGGTGGCAGCCTGCCGCCGCACCACTTCGAAATGCCCGCTGACCACTTCGAAATGCCCGCTCCGGCGGCCCGCGATCGGCGCTATTCTTTTTTCTACAAGCAAAATTCGAGCCAATTGAGGAAACTGAAGCGGGCAGGCTGGAAGCACTGAGGGACGGCCGATTTTCGCCCAGTGGCAGGCCTGATCTTAGAATCGCTCGCTGGGCCCTCCTGCTCGGCTTTAGCCAGTAGACAAGTCTTGTCATCAACAGAGTAGAAGGATCTGATCTCGGGGCCGATGTGACCAAGCGCTGGTAGCGTGGTTTAACCTCACACCCATGGTCTCACAGTGTGCCGGCAGTCGCTGAGCAGTGTCGCTCACACAAGCCGCAGCACAAGTGACTGAGGGCCAGTGAGGGCGAGCCCATCGCTGTCACAGCTGTGGCAGCCGCACAGTAGGCTGTGTCAACTGTGCAGAGTGTGTGAGCAGCAGAGGAGCTGCTCTCCAGGCTTCTGTCGCAAAGAGCTGCATGCCACCGAAAGCGCTGTCGAGGTTCGCCGAGCGCGGCGAAATCCGGGGACGCCGTCACCGACGAGCGCGTTGGAG